GTGCTGCTTTGATGGGAACCTGCGTATTAGCCGGGGTGGATCGGCAAGGTGCACAGGGGTGGGAGGGGCAGACTCAGGTCACTTTGCCTTTGGTGGCCTGCTTCGGGAGGGGCCCTGTGGCACCGGGAGGGAGGTCAGAGGGATGGATCCACAGAAGCACAGCATTGGGTGTTTGCGGTGCAAGCAAGTTCCATGAGGGGAAGTGGTTCCCTTTGGGATTTTGGCTGCGGGATGGGTGAGGGAGATGACGCTGGCCAGTGCCTTTGTTCCCTGCCAAGCTGAGCTCTGTCCTCCGGGTCTCAACCCCTCTCCCGTTGTCTTCTGGCCCTCCCACTCTCCGAGCAGAGCTGTTGACTTATAACATTCCAGATGTTAAGTCCCTCTGGCTGTCAGAACACACTCTGACCGGCCACTCCACTTTTGCAAGCCAGACTCGGGGGCTCTGCCTTGCCTGGTGGGCTGCCCCTCTACTGCTCCAGCTCCCTCCCGCCAGTCTGTGTAGCACGCACGGCCTCTCTGCCCTTCCTGCCCTCTTCCATGGGCTTCTTATCTACTCTTGGCTCCAGAGAATCCATTCTGCTAGTCTTCTGGCGGTTTTCTAGGTTATTTAGGCAGATATGGGTGGAATCTAAGTGATCAGCAGGACGCGGTGAGACCAGCGTCCTCCTACGCCGCCATCTTCCCCCAGACCTTTCTTTATTATCTTTTAATGTCCATGGGATCTGTAGTACTGTTGCCTCTTTAATTTCCAATGTTAGTAATTTGTAACTTTTTTTTTTTTCTTAGTTAGCTGGCTAGAGGGTTGTTGATTTTAATAATTTTTTTTTCAAAAAAACCAGCTATGTTTTGTTGATTTTCTCTATTGAATTTTGTTTTCAATTTAATTGATTTCTACTCTAATCTATTATTTCTTTTCATCTGCTTACTTTGAATTTAATTTGCTCTTCTTTTTATAGTTTTCTAAGATAGAAGCTTAGATTATTGATTTTAGATATTTCTTCTTTTGTAATATATACATACAATGCTATAAATTTTCCTCTAAGCACTGCTTTTGCTGAATTTCGAAAAATGTTGCTAAGATGTATTTTCATTTTCATTGATTTAAAAATATTTTTTAATTTCTTTTGAGATTTTGTCTTTGACCCGTGTGTTATTTAGAAGTGTGTTGTTTAATCTTCAAATTTTGGGGGAATTTTTCAGCTATCTTTCTGTTACGAGTTCAGTTCTGTTGTGGTCTAAGAGCATACATTGTATGATTTCTATTCTTTTAAATACATGTAAATATATTATATAGCCTATAATGTGGCTTATCTTGATGAATAAGATATCTTTTTCATTGAATTGAATTAAAGACTCTTAGATTGATGAAGGAATTTTGAAATAATTCTGTTTCCTACCAGCAATAGATACTTAGCTCTTTATCTTCAACTCATTTCATGATTTGTTCTGAAGTGGGCAAGTTTTTCATTTATGTGATTTGTTCCTACATATGCTAATCTATGTCTCAGAATGAGGGGCATCTGTGGAAAATCTAGGGGCTGTCCTCATAAAATGTATATGTACATTAGATAAAGTGTTCTACGTTATAAATCTACTTTTAAAAATATAGTGGCTGAGATAACATATCACATTAGCTGGAAATTTTTTTACAATGGGGTGATATGTAACATTTCAGAAAGATTTATAAATAATAAATTTTCATTATGCTTTTAAAATGTGACAATTTTTTTCTATTCCCTTTAGTTTTGTCAACCTGGTGGGTGGCAGCTGTCCAGAGAGAGGAAGCAGCCAACATTTTTTGTGGTGGTCCTGACAGATATTGACTCAGATCGACATTACTGCTCATGCCTAACCTTCTATGAGGCAGAAATCAATCTACAGGTACAACCACTCTTCTAGGCAAACTACAAATGAACAACATTTAAGAATCTTTTTTTTAATGCCATATTTGTTTTTGTTAAACTGTTAAGTTTAAGTTCTTTGGGCTACTTTAAAAAGACTGAGGTACTAAACTGTTGGAGAAGAGAGAAAGAAAGTATACTTTGTTTTCTTTTATTTTTTTAATCATTTTTTTAAATGTTTATTTATTTTTGAAAGAGACACAGAGTGTGAGCATGGGAGGGGCAAAGAGAGGGAGACACAGAATCTGAAGCAGGCTCTAGGCTCTGAGCTGTCAGCACAGAGCCCTATGCAGGGCTTGAACTCACGAACTGTGAGATCATGACCTGAGCTGACGTCAGATGCTTAACTGACTGAGCCACCCAGGCTCCCCTTACTTGTTTTCTTTTAAAATATTGATCAGAATCTGAATATTTCTAATAATAGCATATTCATGAATTAGTATATTAAGAAGATGTATATCCCCTCATGTAGAAGGTGTGATTTTTTTCTCTCCTTTTCCTGAGCAATCTTTCACAGAATGTAAAGCATTTAATCAGAATGTTCATAAATCACCTATCACAATGCTTGATATTATTTTTTAAACACCCAAGTAAATGTCAACTCATTATTGTTAATGGCGGGAGTATCAACATGACTGAAATTCATAGGCTAGACCATTGAAACAAGAAATACTAGGTTTCTCAAAGAGTATTTGTTGGGGTTCTTACTTTCAGACAACTGGACCTACTTTCTCTATGCATAAAAGGATTTATGACAATGAATTGCAGAGGTTATGTAATTTCATGGGTAAGAAATAAACAGGGAACCAACTTTGGATACTAGGAATTGCCTGGTTTGAGTCTATTTTAGTAGATACTTTTTCTCCCATTGACCACTTGTCACTTACAATGTTGGGTACTAGACAATATAACCTTTATATGTTACCCTAAAAATCTAATGTCATGTACAGCTTGTTTCACTATCTTACACCGGTGACTTCTGCTTTAATTCTCATATGTGTTGTTTCCTTGTGGACATCAAGTTGCATACAGATCCCACCCCCCTGCAAAGGAATCAGAAAAACTCTTTGTTGTTGTTATGTGTTTGTTTATTTTGATTTCAAAGCTCTATAGTACAAGAAGGAAACTATAAAAAGGTTCAGAGGATATTGACTGAGCCAGTCAGCATTATCTGCAGTACTTTCTGCTACATGCAGGTGAATGAGTATCACTGCCATGGAAAAGGACTGGCTTTTCTAAAATGGCCTCACAAAAGAGCATTTGTCATTTGGGTTACTTTAATTAAACCCTAATATCTGACTTTTCTAGATGCAGAAATCTGATTTTGCAGCACAAGAGGAGATAAATCACCTTTCCTGACACAGACTCACATTATCCACATTCATTAGACTGATGTATTAAAGCCAGCTTGCTAGTTTATTAAGTTATAGTGATAAATTAAAAGATTACATAGAACAAAATATGTATCACATATTATCAATACATTCTTTCTTTGTTGTCAGATCATTGTGGGAAGCCATATCAAAATCTGAAGCATTTTGGCGTGGAATCAAACTAAGGAATACTTTATGCCAAATATTTAAAAAAAATTTTTTTTAATGTTTATTTATTTTTGAGAGAGAGACAGAGTGTGAGCAGGGGAGGAGCAGAAAAAGAGGGAGACACAGAATCTGAAGCAGGCTCCAGACTCTGAGCTGTCAGCACAGAGCCCGATGCGGGGCTCGAACTCACAAACCATGAGATCATATCCTGAGCTGAAGTAGGACGCTTATCGACTGAGCCACCTGGGCACCCCATGTCAAATATTTAATGCTTGCTAGACTAACATAACCCATTGTTTCTATTTGAAATTAGCCCATTGTTTCTATGTTGTCAATGGGGACAGAAAACTTAGAAGTTGATGACAATAGCCATTTCTGTTTTGGATAGTGTTTGAGTGGATGTTGTTGACAGATAACTAATCAAATTCCCATTTTTGATCAATTCAGTTTAAAAGTATTCTCCAGCCAAGAGCCTACCTATGTCTTTTAGGTGACCTTTCATTTTTATGTTGATCTTTGGAATTTAAGTTGGTTCTGAGAATGCAGTAGCAGTATTTTCTTTTATTTCCGTATTCTTGACAGTACCTCTTTACAACTCCCTAGAATTGTCCAATGAAACTGATTATTTAAGTCTTCCTCCTTGCTCCTTCATTACAAACCCTTCTTGCCCCAAAATAACTGACAGAAAAGTAATACATTAAGACAGTGTAGGGGGGTCCTGCACTGTCTATGGTGACATAGCAAACTCCTGAAACCAGTTCCTCCCGCATCTACAGCTACATGGAGTGATTCCCTCTGAAAGAAATCTAGAAATGAGTTTAGCAACTCACATTTTGCAAACAAGAAAATACCCATACTGAAATAAGTAGGAAAATCTGAGACAAACTCTCACCATAAACCCTACCCCTGGCATAGCAACATGAGATTGGGAAGGAATTTACAACTATTAGCATTTTCCTGAGTCGTAAAGGATTTGGACCCAATATCTAGCCTCAACTTTAAAGACTTGTACTGAGGGATGGACACCCAAAACACCTAACTTTGAAAAATAATGGGTCTTATGTCCCTGAGACCCATCAACTATAGCAAACAAAGAAAGAGTTCTTAACAGGTTCATAAGAATTCACTGTGTCTGTGCCCCTACGACTCAGCATGGAAAGAACAGGGAGAAATGCCCACCTCTCGGTCTTTCCTTGAAAGAGTCCTGTTTGCATACTTTAAAAGCTGCCTTAGGGTCAGGTCTCTAATTTAGCATATTTCTAGGGGCCGTACTGGAGACCAAGGAAGCTAGCAGGTACCATCTCTGTGTTGTCTCTCTGGCCCACTTTACTTTACCAGTTTCTCTCCGGAAAGAACTTATGCACATGTCTGGAACTTCAGATTTGCAGTTGCTGCCCAAGGAATGCACCCTTTTAATCAATCTCCTGGCTCTGGTGGTCAGCAGAGCTTAAAGCTGTCAACTCCTACAGGACTGTAGCAAAGAAAGAAAGTTCTTAACTGGCCATCTCCACCCAGGAGTCAGTGAGGAGCAGAGAGAAACACCCATCTCCAAGTCTTTCAATGAAAGAGGTATATTCGCATACATTAAGGTTGCTTCCTGAGAGTCTGGCTTTCAGTCAGTCTGAATCTAGTTGCTGAGGTCCTTCTCTTTGGGACAATGAAAGGTCTTGGCACACCCTCAACTACAGGAAGCACTAAGAATAAGGTAGGCTGTTTGTGGACAATTACAAAGATTTGAGAGACAGCCAAGAGCTACGGCAAGATTAAATGATAAGATTCATCCTCCTACAAGAGGCCACTTCTTCAAGACTAGGAGAGGTGGCTGTTTAACTGAATACATAGAAACTAACAAAGAGAGTCAAGAAAGTGGAGAGACAGAAGAATATGTTCCAAACTAAAGAACAAGATAAAACTCAGAAAAAGGAGAAATGGAGATAAGAGATTTATCTGATCAAGAGTTCAAAATAATGATCATAAAGATGCTCACTTAGCTCAGGAGAAGAATGAATGAACAAGGGTAGAATTTTAACAAACAAAACTTAAGAAAGAACCAATAAAAGTCAGAGCTGAAGCATATAATAACTGCATTGAAATGTACCATAATGGGATTTAACAGCAGACTAGATGAAGGAGAAAAAGGGATCAGTGAACGTGAGGACAGGGCAGTGGAAATCACCCAATCAAAAAAGCAAAAATGAAAAAAAGAATGAAAAAGAGTAAACATAGCTTTAAGCATTTAAATGACACATTAAGTAGGCCGATGTTCGTGATTTAGGTATTCCAGAAGGAGAAGAGAGAGAGAAAGAGGAAGAAAACTTATTTGAAGAAGTAATGGCTAAAACCTTTCCTAACATGGGGAAGGAAACAGACACACAGATCCTTAAAGCCCATAGAGTTCTAATAAAGATGAACTCAAAGAGACTAGCACCAAGATATATTATAATTGAAGTGTCAAGAGGTGAGGACAAGAGAAAAGCAACTTGTTCATAAAAGGAAACCCCCATACTTATGAGCAGATTTCTCAGCAGAAACTTTGTGGGATACTAGGGAGTGTCAAGATACAGTCAATCTAACATATTCCACCTGACAAAAATGTCCTTCAGAATTGAAAGAGAAATAAACAGTTTTCCATACAAGCAAAAGCTAAAGGAGTTCATCACCACTAGACTGGCTTTATAAGAAATATTAAAAAGAGTTCTTTAAGCCTAAATGAAAGGGTACTAATTAGTAACAGGAAAACATATTAAAGTATAAATCTTACTTGTAAAAAATATCTAATGTTGTAAAAGATGGTGGGTTAATCACTTATAAAGCTTAGTATGAAGGGACCAAAAGACAAAAGTAGTAAAAATAACTGTAACTACAAAAATTTGTTAATGGATACACATGATCAAAAAGATATAAATTATGACATCAAAAACCTAGATTAGGTGAGGGAGATATAAAATGTAGAGCATAGAATATATTCTAATGTAAACTGTTATCAACTTAAAATAGACTGTTATAAATTGTTTTATGTAAACCTCATGGTAACCACAAGCAAAAACCTATAGTAGATACACTAAAAATGAAGATAAAGGAATCTAAGCATACCACTACAGAAAACATCAAATCACAAAGGAAGAGAGTAAGAGAGGAAGGAGGAAACAACAGATTACAAAATATCCATAAAACAAGGAACAAAATGGCATTAGTAAATATAAACTGATCACTAATTACTTTAAATGTAGACAGATTAAATTCTCCAATCCAGAGACTTAGAGTGGCTAAAAGGATTTTAAAAATAAGACCCAACTAAATGCTACCCACCAGAGACTTTAGCTTTAAGGATAGACACAGACTGAAAGTGAGGGGTAGAAGAAAATATCTCCTGCAAATGGAAACCAAAGGAAAGCTACAGTAGCTATACTTGTCAGACAGAATAGACTTTAATCTAAAA